CAATGATTTTTTTATTGAATTACTATAAGCATGTTGTTCTTGGTACAGTGGTGAGTGTATGATTCCAATTTTAGCACCGCAAGTCTCGGTTCCAAGTTATTTTGTCTCATATAACAAACTTCAATGCACATTTCAAATTTTCTATACAAAAAAAAGAATACTGGTATGAAAATAAGGAACTAAGGGCTGTGTTTTAACAGAAAATTATGGCAGTTCTCGAGGCCAAGAGCTTTTTACATTACCGTTGGACGTTGAGGTCCAAATGTCGTATTTTTGAGCCAACTTTATGAAGGAAAAGATGTTTGTGACACAGCGTCGCCGAATAGCAGTGTGGCAATTTAACTTTTTTTAAACCAATTGAAGTGTATTTCGTTTTTTGTGTTTTTTCGTTTTTTTTTTTGTTTTTTCATTTTGTTTGTTTTTATTTTAGTTGTTGATTATGATGATGTTATAGAAATAAAATTTTATGTAATTAGTTCAAACACACAACTTAATATTATATCCTACTATCCTAAAGCCTATTATTATTATATTATACCTATATAGGTACTTACGTCAATGTTTGTGAGACTGTATGCATGTATGTTTATTATTCTTTCATGCAAAAACGGAATGATCGATTTGGTTGAAAATTGGTATGTAAGACAAATAGGTGATACCCTGGATTAATTTATAGGCTACTTTATATCAAACACGCGGATGAAGCCATGGGCGGGAGCTAGTTTAGACATAAATTTTGAAAGATCTTTATTTTGTTTTCGCATTACTCATATTCATTGTTTTAATAATATGATGATGATTGTTTAAAAATGCAAATTCTACATTATGGCAAAATAAAATTCATTATTAATATTTTTTTTTGTATTGGACATCATATACCTATACCTAATTTAAAGACACAATCAACAGTTACCTAATCATGTTGCTACGTCAGTATCATCATCAGTCTGTCACAGACCACTGCTGTTGAAAAGGCGTCTTCCTATACAAAGAAGGCCTTAATCACCTCTCTTGCTCAAGGCGGATTCTCGATTTAAAACTTAAACTTAATAATTATATTTTATAAGTCAAGGTTTCGTCACGATGTTTGCTCTTGCCGTTTGCCAGTGACGGGAAAGCGCTTAGCTAGACGTTTAATTCGGAAGAAGTAGCATTTCACATGAGAAGCAGGTGACTGAACTTCAGAGTTACCACGACATCTATGTATGTATGTATATGCCAGTATAAAGTTTTTTAAAATAAATTTTAAAAGTTCTTTCTACTGTTTTACAGGTTTTTATCTGCTCTGTGTCCTCCCTTATTATTCCCCTTTAATGATACATAAACAAACACTTTTCTCAAATACTTTCCCCAACAATAAGTTTAATAACTTTGCTTAGTTGAGATCGTCAACCTTTGGGTCATTACCAGCGGCATACTCTGTGATATTTTTTCGTGGAATTATTGTGCGATGCTATGTGTATTATGATTCATATTTTTATGTGTAGTAGAGTTGAAATTTCAGTGCTTTTTCAGTCTTGCACTTAATGATATCGTTATGTTGAAGGTAGACGTTCTTTTGTATTATGGGTATCTATAATTGCAGTGTATTGATGATTGCTTACGACTTGGCTGTTTAAAAGACTCGACCAGTCTAACAGAATACCATGTTGCTTTTTAATAGGCCCCTTGTAGTTCATCACCCTACGACTGTTTACCACTTAACCGAACTGGAAAGCTAATGTAAAACAAGGCTAGCATTTTATGTCCCCTAGTGAATGCAGTTATCGGTTGCCCAACGCTAGTCCCAAATCCCATCCCCAAATCTTTACGAATCAGCCGGGGTTGCGGGGTAAGCGCAATGAGGCACCGCGACCTCAGCCTAGAGCAGGAAAAGGAACAGGGGGTTTTTAGTCAGTAAGAGTCTGACATCGTATGAATCCCTCCCGCCCGGCCCTGGGCGGGAGAAGTCATACGATGATTATCCCCTAAAAAAAATCCTTACCAATAATACACATGATCCGCAATCCTGAAATCCCTTATAGTGCCTAAAAAGACCTGCAACGCACATGTGACCATTTCATTTGCGTCTATGAGCGGTGTGTGTAACTTACCACCAAGTCACCTTCTGATTATATGGTGCCCCGTCTTATAGAAAAAAAACAGTAACACTAATAAAGACAAGGCCGTAGCTATTTCTCTCTCATTTGTATAATCTTCGTCTTCCTTTTATAATCTCCTGCCTTTCGAAGCCTCGTAAGTAAGCATTGAAGCCGTCTAATTAGTACAGATATATATATTTATATATCTATAGTGTTCATTAAACAGCATTCAAAAGGAATTAGACGAAGAAAATTCACTGGCAAAGAAAATCACGTTCCAGGTACAGTTAGCTGCAAAATTTTAAAGTGTATTTATAAGGGAATACATTTTTGTTGTTTTTATTTTTATTCATTTTATTAATTAGCCACTCGCCAAAGAACCAAAGTCACCAACATAGCTCGTAAAATCTGCAGACTAAAGTGGCAATGGGCACTGCAGGCCACGTCGTTCGAAAGACGGACGATCGATGGGCCCGAAAAGTGCTAGAGTGGCGACCAAGGACCGGAAAACGTAGTGTGGGCAGGCCTCCCGCTAGGTGGACCGACGACATCGTCAGAGTCGTGGGGAGCCAGTGGACGCAGGTGGCAACTTGTCGTTCGACGTGGAGAGCTAAGGGGGAGGCCTTTGTCCAGCAGTGGACGTCTTCCGGCTGATGATGATGATGATGATGATGATGATGATGATGATTAGCAACTTGGCCCAGCTTCGCGCGAGTGCAAAGCAGGTACTCAATTCCTCCACTAATGGATGTTATGGCACATAGAAAATAACCTCATTAATCACTCCATCCATCAAATGCATCAAAATGCGTTGCGCAGTTTTAAAGATTTAAGCATACATAAGGATATAGGGACAAAAAGAGCGACTTTGTTTTTTGCGGCACACAAAGAACAAAGTGACATATATATGTGACACACGTATATCAATGTGTGTATGAATTGACACATATCATGCTTAAATGCACATCTATACGAATATTTAACTAAATAATGGGCTTAGTATTTGTTAGTAACGTTATATGCCTTTGTGTAATTTATTAACATGTGTCCGTATTTTAGATTCAGTGTCAAAATTTAGTCAATACTACAGGGTGTAAAAATACACTTAACGAAGTCGTTAACTACGCATACTGCAGTTCTAACTAAGTAGCTTTACGCTAAAATTATCACTGGGAAACGACTTTTATTTTAAGGTATCAAAAATAATAATAATTTTATTGCGCGCAATGTAAAGCAAATGGGCTTCGTGTCATTGTGTGCGTAAGTTCACAGCTTAGCATGAAAACGCTGTGATAAGTACGTAGGTCGACGTTTTACTTCGCAACAACAAAAGAATTCTGTAAAATAAAAATCCTACTGAGATGCACGATGTTTTTTGTGCGGGTCTGCACTTATTTATTACGTACATTACTGTTCGTAACTTCAAATGCGTAATTTATTTAGAAAAATCGAAAATTCAGGTAATGTTTGTTTGGAAAAATTTTGTAATAATACTTAGAATTCGATTGCGTAAAAACCATAAAAATAAAAATGCATCTTTGACCTTCAATATCTCGAGAACCCGTGGAGTCCCAGCTATGGTCTTAAAGAAAAAACTGATCCAAATAATGGGTAGAATACGTGTCTTTCTACGTGTCTTTTTACACCCTTTATAATAATGCTACAGAGTAAACAATAACATGAATACAAATACATAACTACACATATAGAATCGATGAAGCGTTATAAATGTTTTATTATGCAAATATTATATTTCCATTTAGACCAAATAACGAATTAATAAATGATTATTACTGATAGTTCCTATTACCTAAAGTTTTGTTTGTATTCGTTTATATTATTCAATCGTTATCAGTGTCCTAATTGTTTGTTGTTCCGTTGTTTTTTCTTTAATTAATGAAAATCTATTTTTGGTCTCTAAAGAGCCATTGTTTTGACGTCGACGGTACTTTTGAACGTCATGTAACCTTTTATTTTTTCAATTGAAAAACTTGACCTAATAAAGTACGAAGAGTAAGTGTAGGAGAGTCTTGCTAAGTGTGGGAGAGCCATGCTTCAGCACGAATGGATTGGCTCGACTGGAGTGTTATCAAGGCTTCTCAAAAAACCGCCTTGAAATATTCACAGTGTTGTGGTTTGTCGTGTGAGGTTACTGGAGGCCCAATCCTTCCCCTCCCTCAATCCCTACCCATTTCGAAAAATTCCAAATTCCTTATTCCCAAAAGGTCGGCAACGCATTCGTAACTCCTCCGTTGTTGCGGGTGTCCATGGGCGGTATTGATAGCTCAACATCTGGTAATGCGCTTGCTCATTTGCCGACTTATCACATAAAAAAAGAGATGAAATTGTAAATTCAAAACAAATCATTGGTTACGGAAATTTTATCGTAATTGAAGTGCAGCAAACGCAATTAAAGTATGCATTATACACAACATCTATCAATCTATAAAGTAAAAGAAGGGGTATATGGTAAAATTTGTAGGGGAGGGTAAATAATGCAGGAAGGTAACTAGGTTGGGTAGTGTCTACAGTCTACACTACTACCGTTAGTCGAATGACGGGAGCAGAACTGCGGATAAAATTAATAAAAAATTAAAAATAAATGTGACAATAAAATTGTTTATTGAACAGTTGTATAAGGGTAAATTTAAGCGGTGCGGCGTGCTATATACATTATAATACTTTAAACGTCAAATCAAAGCTAAACAAATAAAGTCAATTACATAAAATTTTAAAAGACACATTGCTAAACAGGTTGAAAAACACTATAATTTAGGTAATGACTGATTTACCTAAGTGAGTTTAAAATACTTGAAAAACAATCAATCGACATGACATAATTAAATAAAATTATGTAAAAATAGCTTACAGCTTATAATTCAGCAACAAATACTACAAGCATTATTAATAAACAATCGTTTAATTAACAGCATCGTTGAGAACAGCGAAGATGGAATATCCGTTGTACAGGGCCTGAAAAATATGAAATGAAATTTTAAAATAAAATGTAATAACGCTCTGGCCTGAGGCTTCTCGCAAACACTTGGAAATGAAATTGTTTTCAGACGTTTCACACATTGCTTTTAAGGTTTTTTATGTTGACTAGAAAAAGTAAGTTGACTGTACTTTTGGTATTAACATTTTGGTTATAAAATTGCAGTAGCAATAATAGTTAATACGAATGATGACTACAGCTGAGGTTGCGGGGTCTAACGTCATATGGTACAAAGACCCCGGGCTGAAACAGATGAAGGGACAGGGTGGTTTTTAGTCAGTAAGAGAGGAATAAAAACATTTTTTATCACATCTTTTTTTTTAAACAGCATTTTTAACACGTTTTCATTAGCTTCACTTATATTTTACCCAATTAATGTATTTAGTCTTCTGATTCTAGAAAAAAATGTATCAAGATAAATCAGATTTTGTAACAATTATCTACAACATAGCCATTTGGGCGTTAATCTGACAAAATGACCCTCAACCGATTTCAATCACAGTAGCTAATGTCAATCACATCGGATAACTGTGTAGGAAATAAAGTGGCTACGAATCAATCTAGGATAACCAGTATAAACTGGCCTAGCCTGTTTGAAAAAATCACACAAAGCGGGACCTTAATAAATTAATTTTAAATTCGAAAGAGCCATGCTTTGATACGATTGGGCCATCTCGAGTAGTCTCGACTGGAGTGATACCACGGCCTCGCAGAATATTGGGAGAAATCACCACATTATTGTGTTTCGCCGTGGAAGTGAAATTGCTGAAGGCTCTATCTCTCTCTCTCTCTCATCCCCAAATTCTAAATCCACAATCATCAAATCCTAACCAAATCGAATCAATCCAACAAATATTTGGCAAGTGTGGGAATGGTTTCAATGCATTCTGTAGAGGAAACCCATGGTTCAGCATTTGAATTTAAGGAGTTAATATATTCCATATTAAAAATGCACTATATTAAAGCTGAAAACGCTCATTAGCTGGCGGTGGGTCATCGGCGCCACCCATGGACATTCGTAACACTAGAAGCCAGTGCATTGGTGGGTTTTTGATGGTTGTTAAAGATGTAAGCTTTGGAAAATTTGTGGATAAGCAGGGAAATAGATTGAACATGATCTTGGGAATGATACTTATATTTCGAGAACCGTCAAGGTGATGGTGGTAATTGCAGTTATTGGGATATTAAGATTTCAGTTTAAACAGTTATTTTTAGTTCAAAAAGATTTTCTTTATATTTGTTTGTTTGTTGTTTATGTTATTTTTACATTGTCTGGACTTGAAAAGAGACTGACCTCTGAGTTTGTTTCGGCATTTCTTCTCAGAGTAGTCAGATAGGAAATGCCGGCTTCATCTAGTTTTTCACATATAAATTGACGTGTAAAAGTGCCGTTTTATGGCCTATTTGCAAAAATAAATTCATTGTTTCATTGTTTCTTGACAGGAAGTCATAATCATCAGATCGCGACCCGATTTTCTAATACTGTTAAAAATTCAGATCAAATAGCATTGGCTCATTGAATTTTCGTACAAAAAAAAAGCGCTACCTACAATAAAAACAAATATACGATATATAAAGAAATCGTCAAAACAAAGCAAATCCAAAATACTTGACGTCACTCACAGACTCGCAGCACATCCATCCATTATTCGGCCTCAGTAATTTACTTCGACTGTACTTAATGAGAATTAATCTAAAGCCATCATTTATAAAATAATAGATAAAGCTAGGGATACACTAGGGAAAAGAATTTCTAAATTAAGTGTTGCCAGTAACGTTATAAGAAGTGTGTCGCGTGTTTACAATTTTTTTATGCCACTTGGCCACTATCTTATCTGGTGTTAGGTAATGGAATCGACTGTGAATAACTATAACTTCATAAAACCATAGTTTTTGCTCAGGACTTTAATATAACAAAAATGTATTCTCCTGACAATTTTAATTCTGGTTAGAACTTTTCACACTTTTGCGGTTCTAATGCCAACTTGGTGATATTTTTTTTGTGAGGGGAAAATCATCAAATGATTTCTACCGCCCAAGGTGGGGCCGGAGGGAGTATGCCATGCGTCATCGCGCGTGGTCATTGCGCTTACTCTGCAGCCCCGGCTGAATATCTATAGGGCCCCGTCTGTGATGGTCTATTGCCACTACCACCGTACGCTTGGGTCTAGTTCTGGTCGGTTTCGGTTCGGTCACTAAACTTAGTGATATGCGATGTGGAACATAAGACCTCTCAGTGTATCCCTGGCCTTATTTAAAAAGGTACTTAAATACGTTATTTTTTGCAAATACATCATTAGAAGATACTTGAAAAGAACTCGGCTCCGCTCGCAGCCAATTAATTATAAAAAAAATGGTACAGAACAGCAAGCACATTTAAACAACCTTCTTCTTTTGAACTTCCGCCATAATTGTTTTTGGCATAAAGTCGAAAATGTCTTACAGCAATGTGGGATAAGGGGGTATCTTGATAAGCTGTTGTCTGATTAGTATTTGTTTTATTTTTTACATTTTCTTATTATTCTAATGTTAGTTTTTGAAATAAGTTATTGTATATTTTTTATGTAGAAAATCAGATCACGGATATAATTTTTGGTAATTCACTGTACTCTCTAGCCAAAACTTCATTGAATTAAACCGAAAACCTTAAAAGTTTAATTCAATGCGGGTTATTTTATTTATATTAATTAATCATAAAAATCAATGTTATAATATATTTTTTAAATAAAATAATCATAAAAATCTGTTTTCTGTAATGAATTGCAAGTGGCAAAAACCAAACACAACACTCTAAAGAAAACAACATCTATTCACTGTCATTGAGTTATACATTTTAAACTTTTAAATTAGAAATGAACAGCTCAAATCCAGCGCGGCAGCGGTTAACCGATAACCGCGTGCGTCGTTTAATAAAAAACTCTGTGAGATGGAAATAGAAGTAGTTTTTGCTCATTTCTGCTGTTGACAGGTTTCTTTGCTTGTGGAAAATTAGTATTCTAAATATTTTTTGAAGTGTAGGAGAGATAATGTTTAGAACACGGATTTCGCGGAGGACCGACAACCGACTTCTGTGGGACGTTTCTTTGTGTGATCCACAAATTTATAATTCCGGCTTTGATTTTTTTTTATACAAAACGTTGCCCCACATTAGGATTTTCTCCTGAATCGTGGGTGCGGTTACAAACATACAATTTCACATACACATAACACCCAGACCCGGAACAACAATTTGTAGATCACACAAAGAGTTGTTCCGTGCGGGAATCGAACCCGCGACACGTTGCACGGCAGCCAATTGTTCAGCCACCGCACCAACCGTGCAGTTAAAAATTTAATTATGAACTAGCTACTACCGCGTGATTTCATCTCCTGCTTGGCTCCTATTGGCAGTAGAGTGTTGTTTTATTATATCCTATAGCACTAAAGAACATTGTAGCTATTTATCAGTGAAATGAAATTTGGAAATAGACCACCGGTTCCAAAGATTCCTTTCAATACAAACGTACAAATTACAAATTTTATCTCTTTATAATATCCATTTGATTCCGTTCGCGTGGAATAGTGACTTCCTGCAAATTTTTGGTATAAAAACTATCCTACGTCTTTTCTTGAGTTCCAAACTATGTCTGTACCAAATTTCACAGAAATCGCTTCAGTAGTTTAGACGTGACGAAAAGATAGACAGACAGACAGACAGAGTTACTTTCGTGTTTATAATATTAGTTTCGATAGTATAGATGTAAAATTGTATGTTTGTAAATGCACACGTGACATAGAATAAAAATAATACTGTGAGGGAACGTAAAAAAAAAGACAAATATGTGGAAAGCTTTTTTGAAGGTTAATTAAATTATTGGTGGCTTTGATACTACCGATAGCGATAGTACACATTTTATTTTATGTGTTTTTCTCTGCTTGCTTTTTTCCTATTTATGCAAATATGACAAAAATATTCAATATAGGAACAGGTACCATTTTTGTTGGCTTCTTAGCCGACCAAAGGGATGCAAGCTTCCTTGCTTCATTAAAAATGAGCAACAATACGCAACAGACGACGCAGCGAAGACTGAACCGTTGGCTGTTCAGTTAGTTGGCCATTAGCGCGGTTAAATTTATTAACTTAATATCTGGCTCAAAAAATGTAGAAAGTACAATAATTTTCAATTTAAAAAAAAAATTTTTCCACATTAAGATTTTCTCTTGTGTCGTGGGTGCGTTTACAAACATAGAATCATACACAATACAACAAACATACACAACAATCTGTGGATCACACAAAGAGTTGTTCCGTGAGGGAATCGAACCCGCGACACGTTGCGCGGCAGCCAGTTGCCCAGCCTTAATAATTAATTACATGGAATACCTTCTACCTCGCAGAGTAATGCTTTTTAATTATATATAAGTATTACCGAACTTATACGACCTACGCACTTGTGACTCATATTGTGCTGTGGGTGTCAAACGTTGGCACAGAACACCTCCCTCTACCTTTTAGGGATTAGGGGTCGGAGATTCAGGTATAAGGGAGGGCAAGATTTTTGTTTGTTTTTTCTTTTTGTATTTATAAAATGTAATTGTATTTATTTTCTGTGCGAGTTTCAAATAAATGTTTTTTCTTTCTTCTTTCTTTCAAGAAGGATTGGGCCTTTGATAATCTCGCTCACACGGCGAAACACAACGCTGTGGTTGTTTGACACTGATTTTCTGTGAGCTCGTGGTATCACTAGAGTAAAGTTGGTCGAGAGCCATGCTTAAGCAGGAATGGGTCAGCCATTCATGCTGTAAATATCTATCTGAAGTGTCTGAAGTGTCTTTACCTGACTAAAAGTCTGTATAGACATCAACGCTATTCCACCGGCGCTCAGCTTAAGAGGTCTTTGGGAAGCGTTGATAACTATCAGTAGGTCTTTTTGAAGGTCAACAGGCCAGGATGTCCAGGTAGACTCGTAAGCTGCTTGAGCTATTCCTTCACTCTGAAAAATATACGTATATTAACGTAACGTGTATATCAACTACGTATATTAATATATTAGTTTGCATTACTGTTTTGGTCGAATAAAGAAGAAACCTGAGCATAGTTTGACCTTAGATTTTTGAAATTGGATCCTATAATCGGATAGAACGGTAAACGAGCAGTTGCATAACCTGATGGTGAGAAATGGCCACAAGCAGACACCAGAAGCATCCATTAGCATCTGGTGTTAAACAACGCTTGCTATTTTCCTCCCCCCAAACCTTATCTCCAAATCCTCAATCCGAAAATCCCTAACTCCAAAAGGCCGGCAAAGCACTGAAACTTGTACTCTAGTGTTGCGGCGAATGGATTTCGTTTTCCATCAGGTGATAAGCTTGAATGTTTACCGTCTTTTCACACAAAAAAATTGAACTTAACCAAAAACACTACAAACCTCAGTATTAGCCACCATTCAGCCAACAAAGACAACTACATTACATTAATAATTTTGTATTATGCATGTCAACTCTTTTGGTGTACAATAACGTTTATTTATTTATTTATTATTATTTACATTACATTTATTTTAGCAACTCTAAAATTACATTTTTAAATATTTATTATTTACATTGTTAACATTAGAAAATTATTTTCAACTCTAGAGCTCCAGAGCGGCATCAATTTGTGCCACCAAACCCCGACCAATTTTAAGACTTATCTTACAATATCTACAAATAGTTTTAAATCGATCGGAAAGCTACAGAGGTTTGGATAATTTTAGTTTAAATAACTTCATTAAACTCTATAACCCAACGGTGTCTGATTCCATTCTTCGTTTGTAACATTTATGTTTCGCATTTCTCATTTGTACCGCTTTCAACAATTTGAGAGAAATTCCACTTACTTGTATAATCAGCTCATTGCCCAAATAACAGTAGATGTAGGCATTAATTAGTGCTATAATTAAATAAGCTAAAAACGTGAACAATAGAGTTATTTGTTGAGCTCCAACCTGTAACAGAAGAGTGAAAATAAACTAGTTGACCCGACGAATTACGTTGCTTTAAAAGTAACTTTTTTTAGTGTCAGTTTTATTTGTTGTCAAATATAATATCAAATGAGATTTATATAACTGTCCATACAAGTACTAAGGAACGAAATCTTGTTGTAATTTATAAGTAAAAGTAGTACTAAATTTCCAGAACACAAGAAATATTGTTAAAACCAGTAATTCTAGAGATAAATCAATTTCAAATTGACAAGCACAATCTTAAGTTTTCTAAAATTATCAATAAAAATTATAGATAAAAATGGAAACAGAAATCATTTTAGCGGTGTTTAAAAAAAAGAATTTTATTTTAACTCACCACTGTCACCATAACGGCATTCAAACACAGTTCAACTGTAACAGCTAAGTTTTGTACTAAGAAATATTCATTGAAAATACTCTCCATTCTCATTGAATAGCTGTAAAAAATTGTAATATTTATAATCCAAAATTGTCAAGGCAGTGTCCCAATCAGAAATCTTCTTGCAATTCTACTAACTTCTATTCGGTTCTATTATATATGCAAAGGCCTCTTCTCATACGGAGAAGGTGTGAGCATTAATCACCACGCTTGTTCAATGCGGGTTGGCGATTTCAAACTTATAATTATAAATTACAAGTCCAGGTTTACTCACGATGTTTGACCTTCACCGTATGTCAGTGGTGTCTAAATAATCATAGAAAGTACATATAACTCGGAAAAAGTCACATTGGCACTTGCCAGGTTTCGAACCCACACCCTCATACATGAGAAGCGGGCTTCTTAATCTCCGGGCTACCACGACTTATTACACCTTTACTTGTTTAAAATCAGTGATATCAAAACTTATAAAGTATGAAATTTACCTCATCAAACGAATATGCTTCTTAATAATCATCTTAAACTTCATCCTTGTTACCATTTCAGTATCTTTGACATAATCTAAACTCCTTAGCTCTTTCTGCAAGTGTATCAATTGATCGCATAAGTACATTATCAAGCTGCATACTAGGCCTTGCATTGCAAACGCTCGACAAAGTCCAGGGAAAGCGCAGAAAGCCATAATCTGCAGCGACAACACCAAGTTCATTGAGTTCTTCCTCGGATCAAAAGGCATCCATGCTTCTACAGACATCGTTCCTTCTATCAGAGCTAAAACACTAAAAGTGAAGACCACAGCAGCAGTCATACCAGTTATAACCATCACATAGTTTGCCATCAACTTTTTTCTTTCTTTCGTTACTTCGTCTCCAGAAGCCTCCATTTCATCAATCAAATCTCTCAGTTCATCCCTCTTGATGAGAAATATTATCGCTTTGAAAAAGAACTTGTAAATAACTAAACTTTTGTCTAGATTAGAGAAAAAGATAACAAGGTCATGCTTGTTCTGATAGGTTCCAATACCAGACAAAATAAGAAATAGAATCGTAATTGTATGGATGAAGATTTCATAGATTTTGTATAAGATTTTCTGGTTCCTTGTTAGAGTTTTTTCCGGCCACAAGCCAACAAAGAAAAGGTATTTAATGTTGAATGAAAAGAAGCCTTCGTCTATTAGATAAAAACGTTCTAGTATTGAGAGCGCCATTTTGCAAATGACTACGACTATTTGTTTGTAATGAACGTAATGGCTCGGACACAATATGTTGTTGAATGCTGTTATTGTGTGGTGCAGCTTATGTGCTATGAATGAAGAAGGAAAATTTTCACAAAGCAGATGTCCATCAAGGATCTGCTAGTATTATTAAGGTAAAATGTTGGTCCTTCTAGCTTTGATTGTGATACGAAAATTAGAGTCACACATCACGCATAACAGCTTATGCATAATTTTTTTGTTACGTTTAAATAGTATTGAATCAATGGGAGAAGCAACGAACTCATGACTGATATGCTATATTAAACTATCTACCGAAAATTGTTTATTTTTTTGTTTTGTACATTTTCTCTTTTAGCTCCGGGTCGATTCATGTTTTACAAAAGATTCCCACAGGCAATATCGTGTTCGAACACTTTAGACATTTTATCCTTAAACTACAAAGTTATACGAATTTATACGAACCTCTTCAATATACTCATTTCCATACAATTTCGAATAGCTTTTATAATATTCTTCAATTTTATAAAAATGTATAGAATACCCTAGTGTAGTATAAATTTCAATGCATTGTTTGTTTAGAATTCTTAAGTTCAGCAAAATGTCTTGGTTTGCTCCGACAGATTTTCACTTTGCTAGATTTTTGACTTTTTTTTTGTAATAATTAAATGCAAAACATCCTCCGAAGGTGTCATAAAATTAGTGAAAGTTGTTCAAATGTCATGTCAACTGGCTGTGGCGCAAAGGTACGGGACAATTTTGTGTAGTTCCCAATTGATTGTTACGGATAATGTGAATTTATGGATTGCACACATGGACACACTGTGAAAAAACTACGACTATGAAAAAAAATGGAAGAAAGTTAAGTTTTCTATATAAATTATGTTCCATAATTCAAGTGTGTTCGAAGCTTTACTTTACAAACTTTGCACAAATTGTCCAACCAAGAACTGCAATATCTTCGATATTAACAGTCGATTTCTACATTCTGCATCTCTGTCTCTCTTGAGCATTAGAGAAGGATAGAGATAAGACTTTGAGAACTACTTAAATGACAAATTTATGATTAGTTAACGTTCTAACTACGGAGTAAATTGTCTAACTAGTTTGGTAAAGGGCATTCTCATGGCAATTGTTCATGAAGTAATGGGTTATTATGAACTTGGAAAAGATTTCTTCAATGAGTTCATGGAAAATTCTAGAATACTTTATATTAAAGTTTATAGAAGTCCAATCGAAGTGCGATTTCCCGTTATTAGGAGAACTTATTGGTTTTCACTGTCATTTTCGAAATGATTAATTATTAATACCACTTATTCTAGCTTCAGCCACTGACTTCGCCCGCAGTACGGCATAAATAATATGAGTCACAGAGTCATATTTATCTCTGATCTAAATTTCCTTAGTAGTTTTCACGTAAAATAGTAACAATCAATATATATATATATATATATATATATTTTTATATGTTAGGTCGGCAAACGAGCAGATGGATTACCTGATGGCAAGCAATCAGCGCCGTCCATGGACACCAAGAGGAGTTACGAGTGCGTTGCCGAGAGTTTAGGGATAAGGGATTTGGAGATTTGGGGAGGGAAAGGATTGGGCCTCCGGTAACCTCACTCACACGACGAAACACAACGCTGTGGTTGTTTCACGCCGGTCTTCTGTGAGGCCGTGGTATCACTCCGATCGAGCCGACCCATTCGCGCCTTAGCGCTTATATTATATACAACTTTTGCCTGTTAATATAAGTAGGATTTTGTATTTTCCCACCCTCAAAATTGCTACCCTTTTTGATACAGACTTGAGACATCCACACGCCACTAGATTTTGTTACGACTTCATATATTGTTTTGTGTCTTCTCTCTTGGGATGTGAGTGAATACATATTTTATGTTTTTCTTTTTCGGTCTTGCAATTTTTTTTGTATTATTATCATTGCACAGTAAACTTTAAGCATCTTTTTATGAATTTCATTTGGAACAAGTTCATTAGATTTTTGAGTTTCTTACGAAAATCACATAACCAGAGTTTAAAGTGGATTTAAAATTGTCCATCTCCATTACTTAACGGGACTAGTAAAAGTACAAACCATAGACATACATACGCATTCGCCTATTTGAAGTATTACAACCGTAATAATCATAAAAGTTAAGCAATCAAACCTCTATCGAAAGCCTATTGATCTTCTATTTTGTCTTGAATTCCCATGATCGAAAGGTAAATAATGTCACATAAGTGTGGGAGAGCCATGCTTCGGCACGAATGGGTCGGCTCGACCGGAGCCAACCACGGCCTCACAGAAGACCGGCGTGACACAATTACAGCGTTGTGTTTCACCGTGTGAATGAGGTTACCGGAGGCCCAATCCTTCCCCGCCCCCAATCCCTAAATCTCAAATCCCTAATCCCTAAAAGGTCGGCAACGCACTCGTAACTCCTCCGTTGCGGTTGTCCATGGGCGGCGCTGATAGCTTACCATCAGGTAATCCGTCTGCTCGTTTGCCGACCTATTACATAAAAAAACATAATTTTATGTATCTTATAATTTATAATTAGAACATAAAAACAAAACACAACAATATGCGATTCACTTAAACAAACGTCGCCTTCAATCCCCGATCCCATAACGTTTCCAATACTAACAGCAACAGTCAATACGTAGAAATAGATGTGGTTAAAGAAATGCATCGTCACTTTAAAAGCGTAGAGTGCTTTCCAAGCCACTTATATGGAGAATGTTCGAACAGTTACTATTGGTTCACGTAAGCATTGTCGATTTTAAAATTTAATCTCGTAAGAGAATGCATTTGGACAATGTTGTTCAATATTTCTTTCTGTATCGATAGGATTTTTATTTGCAGTCGTAAACAGCTCGGAGAAAGTTCTTAAGTTCACCTGAAGGAAAACTATCAGCGCCGCTCAGTTATGTAAAAAATATCGATCATTATGAAGCCCATTTATTATAAGTTAATTAGCTTCAGAAGCCAAATAAGTATTAACTACAGAACTGATAAAATAAAAGCTAAGATTGTTAATTGTAGTGTAGAAGTTATGATTTGTTCTCAATAATAGAACCGACTAAATGATATAACAAAAAATTAATTGTAAGGAGTAATTAAAAAGGAGTAACCAAAGAGTTTCTATCTTGTTCTTCTCGATAGGAATCAACAAATCTTCACTAGAGGAAAGATCCGCACACTGTCAAAAATAAGTTAAACTTTTTGATATATTCTTTTTTGTTTAACCTTCAAAATTGTCTTTAGACGTCTATTTGAAATAATAGATTTGACTTTGACTTTATTGTGCATGACCACCAAGTTCAAGTTACTAAACACGGTAATTTGTGAAGGTAAACACAGCAACAGATTAATCCATTAACTTCAATTAACTGGCGTTTAGAAGGCGGCGAGGCGTTCAGTTAATACATTGTTATCGTGTTAATCCGTATACAATAATCTGTTCTACAGTCTCTTTGAGGAAATAACAGCCTTTATGACTTTCAAGAGAGCATTTACCATGTCTGAGAGGCTGGAACTAAAGTATTCTTTCCAGGGAATTATTAGCATTGCCATGTCCTTAGGGAAGCGATGAGTGGTTGGGAATATCTCGCACTTGGTATTCGGTAAGGCTATGGTTGTACTAACAGAGCCATCACCTCCTTTCTGTGGAACAGTCATGCCAGCTACGGAGAACGTGGAACGCGTAAGGGAATTATCTTCCTTACGACCTTCTGGGCGTCAGGGATTGCGCAACGATCTCCAGCAACCATAACCTCCGGTCTGCTGACGGCGAACAAGAGTAGTTTGCCGCTCGACCAGAACCAGAACCAATCGTACGGTGAGTCGCATTCCACACGCGCCTCAAATTACCCTCATACCTCCACATATGGCTAATATCAGAGCTTGATAATGAATCGCGGCCCGGCTCAGAGGAGAAGAAGAAACGGGTTGGATTTAAGTCTATACCAATCTGAGACTTGCTCTAGTTTCACCCGGGGCGGGAAAACTCATTGATTGATTTTCCGACCTTCAAAAATTGGTATTAGGTATCTTCATCCCATGAGAGTCTACTGACGGAACTCTATGCTTGGCAAGCGTTTAAAAAAAACAGATTTCTAAGTTAACACTGCTATCTCTGTTATAAACAAATAAAAGTAGGTATTTGTAAATGTATTTTAGGTCATTGTTAAGGGGTATTGAAGTGGGTAGAATTTGTAGTACTTTTTTTGCAAGTTCGGTTTGATATTGTGACTAAAAAAGGCAGCAAATGGCACTAAGTGAGATAACACAGAGCATACAATATTATACTATAAAAATATGAAAACCTGTAGTAAGGGCCTCTGAACATATGCAATTTGTCTTTTGTCGACGTATTTGTAAGTCCCGGGAGTTTTATGCACTTGCCTTATATTTTACCCCGCAGAATCTTTTAGAACGTTCTATCATAATAACTATGTCAAAGGTTTTTAAAAAGGGATGGAAATTGTGCTTGTAATTTAATAAATAAATAAATAAATAAATAAATAAATTGTAATTTGATGTATTACAAAAAAGAAAATAGGTATAGTAGACATTTTATTGAGTAGTATATATTTATGTAGCTGGTTTGTAATAGGACTTTTTGTGTTCGAATCTTGAGTTTAGGTAAAGAGACAGGACAAATTTTTGTGACAAAAACTGAAGTTTATAATACTCGATTTCATTAATTGTTCATTATGTAACTTCTACCTACTTATGTGTATAAAGGACGCAAAGAGCTGTTAGATACAGTCTAGAAAAAAAGTTTGGGACCCTGTAGTCTCCTGAATGGAAGCGTATATACGTATAATGGTGTTATAAGGAAGCTACACACTTTCAAGTTACCTACGAAACTAGTTTAACAAGTTATTCCAAAACACGACCTAAAAATAGACCATATCATTTATAAGATAACAGAAAAACTTCAACGTATATGTTGACACAGCGAGCAGCATTATCAATCTTATAGAGATCTGTCACAAAAACTTACTGGACACTGCTTGAAGACTTGATAAGCGGTTTGTTGTAACGAAGGATGATCAATCAGTTATTTTTACTCGATGATAGCTTGTGGTGAAGGAACAATGAAGTTTTATGTGAGGTAGCGTGAAATATGATAGTTTACACTGATAGGAAAAATGAAAGTACGATATTGGAGGAACTACTTTTGTATACATAAATTTCACAAATTAAATTATTTTAACGCTTTAAACTAAACAAATAAAAAATATTTTATTTATATCATACACAGTTTGACTGCACGATTGGCGCGGTGGCTGGGCAACTGGCTGCCGTGCAACGTGTCGCGGGTTCGATTCCCGCACGGAACAACAGTTTGTGTGATCCACAAATTGCTGTTTCGGGTCTGGGTGTGATGTGCATGTGAAATTGTATGTTTGTAAACGCACCCACGACAAAAGAGAAAATCCTAGTGTGTTTAAAAAAAACCAATTTAAAAGTCTTATTGACACTTAAAAAATAAGTGGTTGCCAAAGGTACCTGAATGTATATTCTCGTAGTTTTCAACAACTTAACGGGGTCCACGGTGGCGTTGGTAGGATCCTGTTTTGGATACGACGGGAGGAAAATTAAAGGTAGCTCGCCGCCGAACCCGACCCAGACCCGAGCGTACGGCGCGTAGCATTCCGCGCACGCCTCAAAGAGCCAATAGACCACCACAGACGGAGCCCTGCAAAGCAAGTTCAGCCGAGGTTGCGGGGAAAGCACAATGAAGCACCGCAGCCTCGGCCCAGAGCAGGAAAAGGAACAGGGGGGTTTTTAGTCAGTAAGAATCTGACACTCTCTGTCGCCTTACCCTGGCCGGGAAAAGTCATTTGATTTTCCCCTGACAAACGAAAGGCCAGGGCCGCGATACATAATAGCGCTTGACTTGCAGCCTGGGACATCGTTCCGATTTGAGGGCTGACCCTTACCAGATCAATGCGCCTAAAGCCGTAAAGGGCTAATGTCGTAACGTAAAAATGTTTACGAGCAATTAAATAACGGTAAAATACTGAATTATTTAATGGATTCCTTTTACGAGAGGTGAATAATTTCGGGTTTAAAAAATAAGCTTGAATTTTTTTAAACGATAGGTTTACGACTTATTTAAATTTATTCGTGAAGTTTGAACAATAAAAAGAAAAATATTTTTATTCTTTATCTTTTGAAGGGTTGTGTCAATGAATTATTTATTAGATTTTTATGTTTAAGATGAATAAATTAAAACCGCAAAGTGAGAAGTCGAGCGGTCTAATACCACAATACTAAGGGAGATACATGTCACAAGCTTTGTTTCATGCCAGATTTCTATGAGGTTGTGGAATGACTTTGGTCAAGTCCTCCCATTCGTACCGAACAATGGCTCTCACACACTTAAAAAGCGAAACTTCTGTATAAATTGGTTACATTTCATGTAACAAATTTATAAATCTTAATTAAAAAACAATTCAAAGGGAATGTTGTATCAAAAGTACCTTTCAACCACTAAACACTGAACAATTTCAAAACTAATTAACGTCAAAACAATAAATTAAACGCCCCATAAAGTACAGGGGAATTTTGCATTTATGATTATAACTATTACGTATACATATTTCCATCACTATATTTAACTAAGTGTAAAATGTTCAGGTGGATGTTTGTTGGCGGAGTAAAATGTTAAGAAAATGTCAAGACAGACTTCGAGATAAAAATAATTATTTGGCTAGGAGATTCATGGCTAAAGATGTGTTACGCAGTAGACAGTTATGAGATGTCATACAAATTCCATCATAGATTCTTATTTTATGGAATAGAAGGCAAACGAGCAGACGGATCTCCTGGTGGTAATTGATCTGTTCCGTCTTTGGAATCCTGCAACACCAGAGAAGTCACAAGGGCGTCAGCAGCTGGTTATTTGGTACAAATTTTGAGCAATTAAAAGGGATTAGTGGACATTTTTGTACTTAAACTAGTGGTTTATATAATGAAAAAACTAACCAAAATAAATGACTCAATATTCAACACGGATACAGTCGCGGGCTCAGCTAGTACAGTTAACAAATTTAATAGCGTAATGTACGAATAGCTGCAAGTCAAATTATAAACATCCAGTTTATTATGGTCTCGCCTCATATGATCTTACCACACATTCAAAGGTCGGTTGTTACTGGTAAATACAGCTTGATGTGCACATGTCATATACAAAGTTTTGTAATATTATTCCAACAGTTGTAATTCAAAGTATTCAAACACTTCAAATGATCCCATAACGATTGTTCACAAAAGCTGTTGCTAATTAATAACAGTGTTGACTAAATTGAGGCAGTTGTTTGACAAATATAATTATTGATTCGTGACTTGGATAGTGTAGGACTAGATACGACTAATTTTATAATGAATAAACTTTATAAAGTTTTTTTAATATCATCGTGGCTGGAGATTCATACGATTGCTTCTTCTATATAGATTTAAAACATGTGTTATAATTATGTGTTCCTATGTTTATTTAGACACCTTTTATACACGGTTAGGGAAAAGATCCTGAAGAAACCTGGATTTATAATGTCTTATTGTGAGTTTGTAATAAAAAATCCGCCTACTCCGCGGGAGAAGAGGCTTTTGCTCACCAGCTTACTTTTCCGAAAGTATGGCTGATGATGATGCTGATGAGGAAACGTTTTCTTAGGTAATGTATGAATGTTACCTATATTTTTATTTATATGTATTAAACATAAATCTTAAAACTTTACGTGAGGTTAGAAAATCATGAAATCTCGTCATCATGAAGACTCTTTCTTCCCTTAGTGGCACTGATGGGGAGTGTCAGACAATTAATGGCTGAAGACCAGCTCGTTCCACATCCTTTCCCATGTCACGACATTGAGCTATTTTCACCACAGGCCTCCAAAAGACTGAAGTACTTGAGTGATAATAATTATAACTATTACCAACTAGTGTCTTCGCAAAATAAATGACATTCAGACAAGAAACAACCAGAGATAATAAACGAACGAGTTATGGGTTTAAAAATTTGTGTTGAAATAAAATATTTTTAACTTACACTATCTAGCTTACGTTAAATCTATGGTTCGCACATAATAACGAAGCGCTATGCAAACTATTGCTTGAAAACACATGTTGTTGTAAGCACCTGACTCTGTTCGTTTATATTTGTATGCACAGTCGTTTTATTCTCTTAGTAATTGCATATTGCTTAATTATGTTTGAATACTGTTTATTGATCTGAATTTGAATACAAAATTTAATGTTACCGACTTATGCAGGTCTGAGCGTGTGGCGCATGAAGTGTTGAGTTTTTTCGTCTCAGTGAGTTTACCGGAGGCCCAATCCTTTCCCTCCTACTAGCAAAAAGCTGGCAACGCACTCGTTACTCCTTTGATGTTGCTGGTACCGTAATTGGTCTGTTAGTTTGCTAACTCATCTCATAAAAAAACCTCAAAGAGCTATCACATCACCACAGTTGGGATCCACTATGGGCGATGTCCCCTACTTGGTATTGTGATTACAAGTACGACATATCGCAGCTCGGCTCGGAGCAGGAGAAGCAACGGGAAAATTTGTAGTCAGTAAGATTATCACTGTCTAAACTCTATGCATTTGGTAGCAGTATTTATATTAAGCAAAATTTTAAGACAGGGGAAACTAGGACTTCAAAAACTTTTTGTTTATATCTTTGAGTGACCTAAATATAAAATTTTTAAGCAAGAAAATATGTCTGACTAGCTTCCTGTGGCTTCGCCTAAAGTATCAGGGTGAACATTATCCTCTGAGCTAATCCAGACTCAAATCTATCTCTATGCCAAATTAAATTCAGACCCGTTTAAATGATTTTACGTAATAAGGTTTCAAACATCATCCATATGACCAAACTTTTGTTTCTATAGCAATTAGACTGGTTAGACTTAAATCGATAGAGGCGCCACCTGGCTTGAGCAGATAACCCCTATAAACTACTTGAGCCTATTGAATTTTAGTGGCTGGTTTACTCGGTACACTAAGAGGGTTCCGTAATTAGCGGTGAGCCATTAGTTGACCACAGTATCCGTACTTGATAGTAAATCTTGGATATCAACATATCGGTTTATGGAAGCCTAAAAGCTTTATATTTTAAACAGTTAAATTTAAGGTTTGAATTAAATTTGCCATCTATAAACACTTAAGACCTTTTTTCTTATAAGCATAAAATTTGTGAAATGAGTTGTTAAAATTTTAACGTTATTTTAATACAGACTAGAGTGCAAATTTGTGGTGCTTTAAAAGTTACAGCCAGTAAGACCAGGTGGCCTACTCAAAATCAAATAAAGGTTTATAGAGCGCCTTTATAGTGATCGGTTTATGAAAGAATAAATGTTTGCTGATGTCGTGAACGTCTTTCTTGTCTTTTAAATGGGTATAAAGGAATTAATTGGTTGTCCCGTTTATTTCATACTTTTTCCATGATAGATTTTTATGGATCTCATCTATACTAATATAAGTATGTAAGTTTGTATGTAAGGGGTAATCTTTTTACTCGCTAGTCGGATTGCCAAAATTCTTTCACCGATAGATAGCTACAATGTTACTGAGTTCTATAGGCTATAAAACATCACGCTACGATTGCATGGAGCCGAGCAGCGAGTGAAACCGCGAGAGAGTAGCTAACTATATTTTAAGGAGCAAGCATATCAGGTGATAGTTACTTAGCACCGCATAAAATCTTCTGCTAACTTGCGTTAGTCTTTTATGATGCTTGATTGTTTTACTTTGTTCTGGATTCTGATAATAAATCAGAATTCAGCAGAGCTGCAATGATCTATTTCGATTTTCGTTTTTTTTCTAGGTAATATTAAGAATTTCGAAAAACCTGCATTATTTTTTTCCTAGGAAAAGGTAGGAGAAGAGTAGAGAACTTTGAAATAATGCTACATAGACAATATACTCCGTGCTATTACTAAGAGATTTTTGAAAATTAGGAAATTTCGGATTATACTTTATTCGACCGTTCTTTTAGTAAAAAAGAAACTGGTTTTCTTTCACACGATAATGTAATTCTGTGTCCATTGAACTAAATGAGTGTAATAGAGGAGGTCAATGGGAATCGAATTAGAACTTAACGAGCGATGGACACTACGCACGCAACATTGTCGATGCGAAACTAATTTATTATTGGTAAGGGAAGTTTTTTCCAATAATGGCGGGGAAAAATATACGATTATTCTATGATGGCTTCTATATTTTGATGTTCTCATGAACATTATTTAGCAAAGAGACAGGTGTGTTTTGGTATATTGTATGATTCTCTTTGACTGCCGAAAATAACTGCAAAATCTGTTGAAGGCTTTTTTTATGGTATAACTCGGCAAACGAGCAGACCTGAGAGATTACCTGATGGTAAGCAATCGGCGCCGCCCATGGACACCCGCAACACCAAAGGAGTTACAAGTGCGTTGCCGGCCTTTTGGGGATAGGGCTTGCGGATATAAGGATAGGGAAGGGGTAGGGGAAGGGGAGGATTGGGCCTCCGGTAACCTCGCTCACACGGTGAAACACAACGCTGTGGGTTGTTTCACGCCGGTATTCTGTGAGGCCGTGGTATCACTCCGGTCGAGCCGACCCATTCTTGCCGAAGCTTGGCTCTCCCACACTTAAATAAAAAAAGGCTAATCCTCTGCTAGCGTCAGACACCAAGTAAAGTGTGGGAGAGCCAAACTTTAGCACGAATGGGTCCGCTCGATCGAAGTGGTTTTTTTTTATAAGGGCAAAATCATCCATCCCGCATAGGGTCAGGCGGGAGGAAGTGTCATACTCTTACTGTCTCTGGGCGTAGGCCACGGCGCCTCATTGCGCTTCCTCCCAACCCCGGCTGAACAGAATCAGCCCTGTAAGGTCTGTGGTGGTCTCTTGGCTCCTTGAGGCGCTGAAG